CACACACACACACACACACACACACACACACACACACACACACACACACCATCCTGTTGTCAGAATCCTAAGAAACTTTACACTCCATTTTTAACCTGGTATCGACAGATAAGAAGTAATGGTACCTAGACACTCACACATCATTACACCTATAGGACAAAATAACACCCTTAAGAGAAGGATGCTGTAACAAGAACATAAGAAAATAGAAAGGAAATTAATTTTTCCAAGGTGAAATGAATGCTTAAATGTGCCTGTTTGCCTTAAGAAGTGTTTTCTCTTCTGATTTATGGTTTTCTCTCTATGTTTTCTCTCTTTGCCTGTGCCCTCATGGACTTCATGGTCTCTCTCCATCTCTGACTGGTGCTGTGGGATGGTCTGTATGTCAAATTACTCTGATTGGTCAATAAATAAAACAATGATTGGCCAGTGGCTAGGCAGGAAGTATAGGCAGGACTAACAGAGAAGAAAAGAAAACAAGAAGACAGAAGGAGTCACTGCCAGCTACGCCATGACAAGCAGCATGTGAAGATGCCGGTAAAGCACAAGCCACGTGGCAAGGTATAGGTTTATGGAAATGGATTAATTTAAGCTATAAGAACAGTTAGCAAGAAGCCTGCTACGGCCATACAGTTTGTAAGCAATATAAGTCTCTGTGTTTACTTGGTTGGGTCTGAGCAGCTGTGGGACTGGCGGGTGACAAAGATTTGTCCTGACTGTGGGCAAGGCAGGAAAACTCTAGCTACAGACTGGCCATTTTCTATAGAATTGTTCTTCTTTTAGATCTTGAAAAAGACAGATCCTACATGATAACAGTGACCCATTCACTTAGCCTGACAGCATGAGACTGGAAAATCATATGGTTTGCTCACTCATAGCTCCTCCAGTTAGTGGTATCATTGTGAGGTTTAAGCTTCAAATTCAGAGGGCTATGAACCTTGACATGTTGCCCTGCTTCCCAATGAGATGGGTGAGATGGAAGCTAGAGTACTTTCCTGCCATGTGCAAACATTCAGTAATACTAAACTAGGCTTCAAAGGAAATCAAATTATGTGCAACAGAAGAAAGAGGTCAATACTGAACCACGAATTACCATGGTAAGATCCATGGCATCGCGACAAGATATAGTGAAGAGAATAACGAGTTAGGACACTCGGGTTTTAGTCGTGTGTATTTTATTAAGAAAACCTTTAATTTTCAGCAACCCATTGAGCTCTTTCTTATTTCTTCAGTGAAGAATCCATTCTTTTTCTTTAACCTCTCTGGGCTTATGACCAAAAGAGATACTGGAAATTAATGTCATTAGAAAAATGCATCTTTAAAAAACCACATGAACACCAGCTCTAAGTATTCTATTTTCCCCATTCTGTTATAGGCATGTCCGGGACTAATACTTGCTCAAATTTACTGCTGTTGTTTTCCAAGTATGAGCCCCCTGTGAAGAATCCCGCTGGTTTCTTTGGCCCTCTATCTTCAGTTAGTTTGTTTTGTCCTATTCTGATTTGCTTGATCTCATTTCATTTTTATTATTCTTTATATACTTGTTTTCTAGCTATAGACAGACAGGGTATGGATCCAGATGAGAGGAAAGGTGGGAAGACCTTAGAGGACTTGAAGGAGGAGAAATCATGATTAGAATATATTGTATGAAAAAAAATCCATTTTCAATAAAAGAAAAGTAGAAAGAAGAGAGAAGAGAGAGGGGGAGGGAGGGAGGAAAGAAAGAGAGAGAGAGAGAGAGAGAGAGAGAGAGAGAGAGAGAGAGAGAGAGAG